GGCCGAGCGGGCGAGGGGCAGCGCGGCGGGGGCGGCCGCCATATTGGGGAGCGCTGGGGCCGGCGGAGACTGACAGGAGGAGGCGGAGCGGGGCCGGGCCGGGCCGGGCGGGCAGGTAGGGCGGGCGGCGGACCCGCTGTCACGGAGGGGCGGCTCGGAACCTGGCTGGGAGGGGGATACTGCTAGGAAGGCCCCGGTCCGAGCTCGGGCCCTGAGGGGAGGCGGGCGGCGGCCTGTGGGCCTGCCCCGCGCCCGGAGCCGCGGGCGGTTGGCGAGCGGTGGCGGGCCGGTAGGGCTGCGCTTCCTGGGGAGGGCCTTTGGTACGGTGCTGTGCCGGGCGTGACAGGATGGGACCTTATTCCTGCCGGGTGACTGGGGGTTCCCGTGCTGGGCTGGCCTCGGTGCCAGGCCGCCCCTCAGAGGGCCGTGCAACGGCCGCCGCTGCCCTCGGAGTCCGTCTGGCCGAATGCTGTGGCACCGGACGGGAGTGGTAACGGGCACTGTGTCTCTGGACCCCGGGGGATGTCTGGCCGAGCCAGAGCTCTTGCCATAGAGCTTGTATTCGGCCAGCACACCCTGGCCCGCTTTGGGAAGGCGTGATGAGAGCCAGAGGCTAATTCAGCCTCACCAGTTCTTGGTTTCTTGATCAAACTGATAACGTGAAGGGCAGCAGAGATTTTTGTGGCACGGCCTCTAGTACTAAAGAGAACTACAAGCAGCGACGGAAACTTTTATCCAAAGTTGCTTGTTAATGTGCCGCACAAGTCGGTGATGTGCCATTGTCCATCTGATGGCCTTTGGGGACCTGAAGGAGCTAAATATATCACTGTGTCTTTCATTAAGGTTTTTTGAATGTGTTGTTGACGTTTTGCAAACGGAAGTAGTACGCGCCTTCAGCAAGTTACAGGGTTGAGGTCTTAAAAGGCCAAACTGAGCATCCTCTGCTCGTGGTGGGAGGGGAGGTGTTCTGCTGCAGGAGTCATTAAAGCACAGGGAGGTCTGTCAGGTCGCGTTGGAGTCATCTGTCGAAGGTGTTGTAGGCTTTATTGTGTGTATGACTCTTTTTTAATTTTTTTTTTCCTTGATTTGTAGCTCTCTTGAAGGTGTTGTATTCATTCTCTTGTGAAGTGCTGATTCTTGCTGAGTTGCTGTGTTCAATGATGTATTTCATGCCAAAGGTTCTTCACAGAGCAGTTTCCCTGCTGGCAACAACATCTCATATTCAAGACTGATTTATTATTTTTTTTTAATTTTATTATTATTTTTAATACAGGAACAGAATTTTCTGGGGCTCTTGACTGAAGGTGCTGCATTTTCTGAGTTCTGTGACACTTTTGCGGGTTGACAAGGGACACCGCTGAACCTTCAGTAGATCTTAGGAAGAACCTCTTTGCTGAGGGGTTCAAGGGCAGGTTGGAGGGGGCTTGGAGCAACCTGGTGTGGTGGGAGGTATCCCTGCCCAGGGCAGGGGGTGGCACTGGGGGGGCTTTGAGGTCCCTTCCCACCCAAACCAGTCTGTGATTCTATGAAACCATATTTGGTTTGTGGTGCATATGGGGAGTTTGGGGACAAACAGGAAAATAACCCAAGAAGTTAAAAATTTTCTGTGATGAAGCAGACTTTTGAATCACCTGGCCTTTTCAGTAAAGCTCCACAGACAAGGATGCTGGTGAATTTTTAATCTTGGCTTTTAGTGCACTGACTTCTGATAAGGCTTCCGATAAAGCGGACCTTTTATCTAGAGCTGGTCCTCTTAGCTTTTTGTAGCCTCTTTTGAGATGCAACATAATTGGACAACCGTATTATGTAGATTTTCTTGTACTTTTTTGAAGGGAAACTGAGTGTTATTAAAGTTAGTAGCTGTATGAAAAAATTTAGTGCTTAGAGCATATAAACTACTAAACAAACAAACAAACAAAAGCCCTGAAGGTTCTGTAAAATATTACAAAATGCATACACTAGCCTTTCTCTTGTGCTTCCCTCTACTCTTCATTAAGTCCTCTTTGAGTCTAGAGTGCCTACCATGGAAAAGCTCCACCCATCTAAAGGCCCCATGTCCCTGAGGTCCAAGTACTTCATCCATCCCTACTTCCTTCTTACACACTTTGCGGTATGCAGAATAAATAAATACATGAGTAAATATAATCACCAAAATGAGTGTCATCATATGCTGGTTGACAAGCAGCTGAAAGCAGAACCTCCGTTTCGCCTGTGTGTCCAGTCATTTGTACAAAATGTGTGTCTATGTGAGGAAAACTGCCACCAGGTGACAATGGCAACAGAAGTGCTGTTGCTGCAACTTGTCCCCTGCTTCCTCGGCCAGTTGCTCCAGTAGCTCAGGTCTCGTGTCCCAGGGGAGCAAGGTGGAATCGAGAAAGCTGCCTGGTTTCTGGTCACTCCCTCCAGCTTGTGAGTCAGGAAGGGCAGCAGCATCCAGGCCCATCAGTTTGGCACAGGTTCATGGACCGAGAGGAAATCTCAAAGCCGAACGTGGCGAGGATAATGCTGGTCCCCTCATTGTCAGGTGGTAACTTGAGGGGATTGTACCCAGCTCCTTCCCCAGCACTCGCAGACAGAGATAGTGCTTTGCTCTGCCCCAGCACGAAGGCTCAGGAACCTGTTTCCTTGCACCCCCAGGAGCAGCGGAGCACATGGGAGTAGCAGAACTTGTTCAGCTCTTGGTGTTTCTCAAGCGTGATGTGCCAGGGCTGAGCCTGATCTTTAACTCGGGCTCAGAGCTTTGACAGAGTCTCTGTAACCGCCAGAAAGGAAGAGGTGCTCAAACACTGTTTAACCCAGGTGCCTTCTGCTAATTATTGCAGCTGTAAAACCAGAGAGTGTTTCTTCTGCCGCCTCTCACATGTTTTGCTTTCATAATAGATGAAGCTGTTATGAGACTTTCTCTTAATTAGATGCAGAGATTGCCTTTTGACCCACAGGCAAGAGATGACACAGAGGTGCCCCCTCAATGAGCATGCATTACGTGTTCACACTCCGTGCATTTCCCAGCGTAGGGCCTCCTGCACTGCTCAAGACTTTGTACTTTATTTCAAATTCCCTGGGAGCAGGCGTGGCCCTCTTATTTATGGAGCAGCACAGTGAAAAGATAAAATAAAATAATTGCTACCTGGAGGCAATAAAAAGGGTTTTAGTGGTGGCGATTTTCTGGGCAATCCCTTGCCGAGTACATGATTGTCATGTTTGCTTAGATAAAGCCTGTGCTCCTCACAGACTACTGTACACTGCAGTGGGATGTGTATTGAATGAAAACGTCATCCATGAAGGTAAAGTAACAAACCTACAATTCTCCTAAATTATTAAAAGCTGGCTGAAGTGAACTTGGAAACCCCTCGGCTCAGGGCCTGGCTGCTGCCTGGGTACGACAGCGCAGGGGGCTGCCCCCTCTGACAGGCTGATCTCTCTAATCATCACACTTGTATTTGAGTCCTGAGTTGGCAATGCCCTTGTCTTTTGAGTACAGCGTGGCAGACCTGACTCTGCCAGCTTCCCTTCTTCCAGTTGTGGAGAGAAGGTGGATTTAGGAAAAACATCTGTGCTGAAAGCGATGGTGATTATCTGAGCATCATCCATGTAAAGGAGGCAGCAACAGCGATGTTCTTGGTAGGCTTCCTGGAGTGCTCTCCTCAGATGAGGGCTTGCATCTGAGAACAACTGTTTTGTGTATGAAAATCCTGCTGAAAAACTTTGGGGCTTGTGATAGCTTTAAGTTGGGAAAGAGCAGATTCAGATTGGATATTAGGAGAAAGTTCTTCACTGTGAGGGTGGTGGAGCACTGGAACAGGTTGCCCAGGGAGGTGGTTGAGCCCCCTTCCCAGGAGATATTCACGGAGGGGCTGGACGAGGCCCTGGGTAACCTGGTCTAGTTGGGGGTGTCCCTGCTGACTGCGGGGGGGCCGAACTAGATGACCTTTGGAGGTCCCTTCCAGCCTGGACCATTCTATGAATCTGTGATGTACTGAAGAGATTAGTGGAGGGGGGTGTTTATTTTTAGTAAAGGCTCTTCCAAAGACAGAGATTTTCTCATTTCCTGAAGGTGTTACAACCCTGCGTTTCTACTGGTGCCTTAAAGTCCGTGCCAGGTCCAGAGCTCTTTGTGATGAATCCTTCATCCTTGGCTCACACGGGCTTCCTGCAGCACGCTGTGACCCGAGTGTCCTAAATTAGTCTCGTTGCCATGCGGTTTGCTGGCCAGAATTCCCCTCTCATCCTGTCAGGACTGTACGTTGCTTTGGGAAGGGTAGACACAAAGCCTTAAATTAGATTCAGGAGCTGCCTTGGAGGGTGGTGATGTTTGTGAGTGCACAGGTGGAGGTGCAGCGAGTTGCAGAAAGTCAATTCTTTGTCACCGCCAATCTGAATAACGGGCAGGGTGGGCCCTTACCTGTGAGGAAGGGGTGATGTTTGCTGGCACCGGAGGCGAGAGGAGGCACAGATCGCTGGGTCTGCTGCTTGGCTCTTGAGCTCAGCGTGGAACTGCAGCATCTGTTCAAAACTGGGAGGCTGAGCGTAGGCAGGAGATGAAAACAAGGTCTTGGCTATGCTGTTGAGCTACTTGGCCTTTCAAATCAGTTTGTGCCTGTGGCTGGTCACCTAAAAGTTGGCATTTTTGGAATAGGGGCATCCTAGAGTGATGGTAGCAAGTGTGTAAAGGGGTGTTTGTGAGCTCCCTGGGTGGGAGGATGCTTTGAAAAGGCAGAAGTGATCAGGGAATGTAGTGATGGGATGAGGGGTAATGGTTTTAAATTGAAAGAGGGGAGATGGAGCTGAGCTGTGGGGAAGAACTTGTTTGGTGTGAGGGTGGTGAGAGCCTGGCCCAGGTTGGCCAGAGAAGCTGTGGCTGCCCCATCCCTGGAGGGGTTCAAGGGCAGGTTGGAGGGGGCTTGGAGCAACCAGGGCAGGGGGTGGCACTAGGGGGGGCTTTAAGCTCCCTTCCAACTCTAACCATTCTGTGAAATAACATGGATTTTTGCAGGACCTTCAGCAAACGGTGGTCTCCTACATATGACACTCTGAAATACACTGATGCCATGTGGTGGCTCTTGCAGTAATGCAGCCTCTTGATCTATTGGTGGAGTCTTGAATCTCTCCGCAGCCTTCAGGAGTGAGGCTTGAGGGTGGAGATCTTGTCTGTCACCGTGACACTGAAGTAGTGCTGTCATTGCTGTTAGTGTGCTCCCTGGGCAATATCTCGTTGTGACCAACCTTTCACGAGCACGAGGCAGCATTATTCATAGTTTGTTTCGAAATTAAGCTTTACCTGCTTCTGTTGTATAGCGCTATGGTTAATTTTAGAAATGCTTTTCACACTAATACCTTAATAAATTGCTGGATAAGAACTTGCAGACTTGCAGCTTTAAAAAGTAAATATATGTAAATTCTGCTCCTTTGGGTTAAATGTGGACAAGCTCTACTTCAGGCTGGCCAAACGCAGAGTATCTCGCTCTTGCCGATGTCTGCCTAGTGCAGGGGAGCTCTGGAGTTCTGGGTGCATTCATAATAGTCTTGACTGTTATATAGCAAAAATGCTATGGTTTAGCTTTCCTTTTTTCCTTACAGCTTGCTCATAAGTCTGGGAAATCGAAGAATCCATAACTGGAAATACTCTCACAGCACTTCAGGCAGAGGTGGAGGTGCTGCTTATTAAACCAGCAGAAAAAACCCCTTTGGGGCTGAGTTAGGGGTTTTTTGTCCCCTCAGTGAGCCAACAGGCACATGGTGTGGTTGGGCAGGGGCCAGAGCTGGCACAAAGGCGGTGCAGGGCTCTTCAGGTGGTGTGGAGAGATGGGCTACCTTTTCCATTGCCAGCTGAGGTCTTTAACGTGTTGATTTGCAGGTGTTGCCGATTAATAGGTTTCAGATAAATCATTGGAAGATGAAAACTTTGGCTTTGGGGAAGCAGGACGTCTGGGTTTGGTTTCAAATCCTGCTGCTCATGACTTGAAGGACTAAGTACTTGTTTACCCCAACCATTTGCCCTTGGTAAATTATGGGGTTCTTCCTGAGAGCTTGTAAATATTCAGCACGTGAATAATGACATGTTTTTACCTCAAAACCAGGCCCAAGGAGAAGGTAGCATCTCTGGTTTTGAGTGGGTTCTTACTAACTCTAAATTTGTCTGTGGGAAGGGGGTGGGGTTCCATTTCCCCTGAAAGGGTAGGAAAGGCTTTGCCATAAGGACTGGGAGTACGTGGGCCATGAGTTCTCTATTAATTAGTTGAAGAAATAGAAGATCTTAAGGAGCTAGGGGTCATACATATTCTTTCTGGATACTATTTTATTACTAAGTTTATGCTTGGAAAAGAAAGGTGGGTTTTTCTGATTCCTAAGAAAGAATTTGTGTTCTGACTGACTTTTTCTTTATGCACCTTATGTCCTGTCTTTGAATTGGCTGGATTTTATCACAGTTCACATTACTTCCAGAACAATGCTTCCAGGCAAAGCACTGAACAAGCGTGGTTTGTTCTTTTTATTGACCCAACCTTAATGTATTCAAATACTTAAATGTTTTTTTCTCAGTATGGATCTGGTTTTAATAAGCCAGCATGCAGAATGCCAGGGGTGGCAGGGAAATGAATGTAGTTATTTTGCAAAATTGTTTCTCCATCGTTTGGGAGGGAGCCTGTACCTATTTGGAATTTTTAGCAAGTGTTGAAAAGGGGGTAACAAACATAGGCTGTGTTGGCTCTGTCGATTCAAGACATGTCCTTACCTGAGCAGAACAAGAACTGGACAATCCCTGACCCTTTTTTGTTCCAGAAATTATTTATGCCCTTCTTAAAACTGGAAGGTAACTGGGTGGGTAAGTTTTCAACACAATAGGTGCAGGTGAAAGTGAGAGACTCTGAGGATACCAAAGGCAGGAGAACTGTTAAATGTAAAAACTTAATATATTTCCAGTTTTAGACAGGACCAAAGGGGACAGAGGATGTATTAGTAATTCAAATACAATTAATGTTATGTTGATGGTTTATTTTGAAGCATCTGAAGCCTGGAAAAGGTTATTTGGGGCTTATTGGTATTATTGCCGTGTTCTGCCTGTGCCGTCTCATCGGCTGTTTGCTCTGTGTACGCTGTATTTCTGATTAGAAGCTGTAGTCAAAATTTGTACAGATGGGAACTCAAATGAAAAGCAAATGTGTTTCATATCCAGAATTGAAAATGTCACATTGCTATGTAACTGGATCTAGAGCTCTTACGAATAATGTGCTGAGCCATTTTGGGAGGATGCTTCAAATGTGTGGTGTTCCCCAGCTGATCACGCTCCTGGTGTGCGTTCTGCAAACTGATCTCTTATTCCCAGTGTTAAATAAAAAAAAAGAAAAAGGGGGGGTACGACAGCATTGTGTTGAAATGCTTGGTTTGAAAGTTCCTGTTAATTTCTAAGGTAGATTTGGAAGATGATGGATAGATAAGGCAACTAAAAAATGAGGGAGACTGTTAGACATGGGATGCACTAATTAATTATATTTTTTTTAAACCTTCATTAATAATATCACAGACTTTTTGAACTTTTCACTCACAATAATACCATCTGACACTTCACTTCATTTGGTGGAAGCTGATTGCAGTTAAATTTGGTAGCTTTCTCCAGTTTTGCCTCTGAAAGAACATATGGGAGAGATGTATTAAATGTAAGAAGCGCGGGGGCGGAGGGGGCAGGGGTACGCAGGTGTGCTCACAAACAGCTTGGCACTGCCTCTTGCAGGCTGCTCCTGTAAAAGCCTTGCCATGCTTTAATGGCAAGAAAGAAAAGGCCTCTGCATTACAGCGTTTGTAAGAAGTCCAAATTTCAGTCCTAACAAGCAGCTTAGCTAAAAGGCGAGGAGTTCTGCACGCTCACAGATGACTGGAGCCCAGAGTTTGTGTGCTTTATCTCGCTTTCAAGCGAGCTTCATAGAATATTGTCATCCTTAATCACATCTCGCTGGATCACAGGGTGTGCTGCTGTCCCCCTCTTAGCATGGGAACTTGCCTCCAGTTTTTAATGGTAAACCCTGGGTAGGTTTTCTGTTCTTGGAGGTAAATCTCTTCCCAGCAAACCTTCCTGCTGGCGGGGGATGCTGCAGGCTGTTCGAGGCAGGCCCTGAGCGTGGCAGTGTGTAGCTGGTCTCCCAGCGCGGCCGCGTGGGTGCAGCTGCCTCTTGGACTTTGCCACAAGTTTATAACTCGAGGCGGCTCTGTTTGTGTAGCCAGGACTCTGGCCAGATGCCGTAAATGTTTATACAATAACAGTGAATAAAAATCCCTGTAGGTTGGTTCTGCACAGCTTCCAGGTGCCTGCGTATTGTGGGGATTTTTTTGTGTGATGTCTGTGTGTGTGTGTTAGATTCCACCTTTCCCTTTGGAGATGTTTATTGTGGGTTGAAAAACCAACTTGGCGTGTCTTTTCTGGCATTGGCTGGTCTCCCAGCGCGGCCGCTTGGGTGCAGCTGCCTCTTGGACTTTGCCACAAGTTTATAACTCGAGGCAGCTCTGTTTGTGTAGCCAGGACTCTGGCCAGATGCCGTAAATGTTTATACAATAACAGTGAATAAAAATCCCTGTAGGTTGGTTCTGCACAGCTTCCAGGTGCCTGTGTATTGTGGGGATTTTTTTGTGTGCGATGTGTGTGTGTGTTAGATTCCACCTTTCCCTTTGGAGATGTTTATTGTGGGTTGAAAAACCAACTTGGCGTGTCTTTTCTGGCATTGGCATTTTTGTGTCGACGTGAGCTGTGGACAAAGCAGGAGGTGTGTGGGAGCTGGGGAGGCTGGACACTAACCATGCTGGGTTGTGCCTCCGTATCCTCGCAGTAGTGTTAGCTAAGCTGGTTTTACTGATGCCTGTTGCAATTTACCCAGCCGAATCTAGGCTGTGAGGCAGCCCTGATCCTAAAAGGTATGCCTGAAAGATGCTTAACATTGCTTAGAGACTGTATAGCCCTAAGTGAGCTAGCCTTATGCTAGCCGGGAGGAATATTTGGGACAGCATGGGCATCAGGCCTTGAATGTTAACCCAGGGGGCCACCTAGTCCAGGGCTGCCTGTGTTCCTCCAGTGTGTGGTGCCAAAAGCCTGCAATACTTCTCACACGGCTAAAAGTGTCCCGTAGTGGTGTGTGCTGCTGATGTACGGGTCTGGCTGTGGTGGGACAGCCTGAAGGTGCCTGGTTTTATCATTCCTGAGTACTCCCTAAACTCTGCCTGTCTACAGGCTGGTTTTGAGTCTGGCAGTCTCTGCTCCCGTGGAGGTGGTTGCCTGCTGAGTTCCTGTCACACACAAAATGCTGGTTTTCTGCTCGTGTGATTTGGCAGCCGAGGGCAGTAATACAGAAAAATGATTCCATTAGCTGCCCTGTGCTGTATCTTATATTTGATACCAATGCTCTGGGGAGGAAAATGGTCTCAAGTTTAGAGAAGAGGCTTAGGAGGTTCTGAAGAGGCTGCTTCCATATGAAGGGGTGTAATATTTTGGCGTTTTTCTTCCCCTGTCTGTTGCAGCAGACAAATTGCACGTTTGACTTCATGATCATAAATTCCTGAGCCTGCTGAACCCCCCAGCCCCTCTGCTTTCCACCATGGACCAGGATTACGAGAGACGGCTCCTACGCCAAATCAACATCCAGAATGAAAACACAATGCCTTGTGTAAGTACAAACGGGCTTAGTCTGACTGTTAAATTGTTGTTTGTCTTGCCTGTGACGGTTTCACTTGAAAGATAGGGGACCTCTTTGAAGCAAACCTCTGTCTTTTATTGGGCTGTGAGCAGGTGTGAGTTCCTGAGCTGTTCTAGGAATAACCAAAAAACTTGATTTCAACAAAGCTTTTGAATATAGAAACTCAGTTTGGGTTGCGAAAAGGAGTTAAGATATTTTTATGTAGCTCAGTAATGCCTTCTTACTGAATAATCTTAGGAAGTACATGTGGAAGGTAAAAAGCTGGGGGCTAACAAACAAAGAAGCCAACTGAAGGGCTTGACAAGATAGAGCAAGTCCAGCAGAAGCCACCAAGATGGTTGGGGGGCTAGAGCAGGAAAATGCTGAGACCCGTGGTGTTCAGCCTGAAGAAGGTGAGGCTCTGGAGGGATTAAATTGTTGTTTCCAACTACCTGGTGGGTGGATATGGAGAAAATGGAGTCAGATTCTTTTCAGAGCTACACAGTGGAAGGGTTAGAGGCAATGGATGCAAGTTGCAACAGAGGAAATTCCAGTTAGATATTAGGAAAAAATGTTCACAGTGAGGGTGTCCAAACACTGCAAGAGGGAGCTTGTGGGGTCAGTGTCCTTGGAGACGCTGAAAACTTGACTGGATGAGGCTGTGACCTTCAGTGTAACTTTGAAATTAGCCCTGTTCTGAGCCGGGGTCCTTTCCAACATAAATCATCCTATGCAAAAGAATGTGACTGCAGTTGAGGAATCTGCTGCTTGCCCTGCAAGCAGCCTGCCCCGCTGCAGCCTTCCACGTGTTTGCCTTGACAATGTCAGCATGAGGAGCAGCAGTGAGAGAGAGGCTGTTTAATTGCTTCTTTTGATAGTAGTTCCCATGACAGTTGGACCCTGATGTGCTTCCTAGTTCTGTTAAGGGAATAAACTAATGCTTAGGGCTCTTCTGCTGAGGCATACTCAGCTCTGACAAGACCTCACTGATGTTTTTCAGACCTCTGCTGTGATTAACACTCATTCTTGTGTGTGTCTCTTGTTCTGTAATTCAGGTAGCAGAGATGAGAAGAACCCTGACGCCTTCAAATTCTCCGATGTCTTCTCCTAGTAAGCATGGGGACAGATTCATTCCCTCAAGAGCTGGGGCCAACTGGAGCATCAACTTCCACAGAATAAATGTAAGTTTTTTGCTCCCTTCTCCTACAGCTCAGTCTCGAAACTGAGGAAATGGTGCATCTTGTTTTGGCTGGTATAATTGCTCTGCTTATCTTCTGCACCATGGTCTTTTCCTTCCCCCAAAAGAGTTCCTTTCAATGCACGTCTTCAAACAGGCTGCCCCCGCGGTCCAGGAGGCTTTGTTATTTTACTGTATGTCATGAGGTTTGTGTGTGGTTATAGCACGTTTCTCCCTTTCAGGAAAACGAAAAATCACCAAGTCAAAACAGAAAAGCAAAGGATGCAACATCGGACAATGGCAAAGGTGAGCCCACCTTTCTCCCACTTGCACCATGCTTTTATTTCAGCCTGGGGGTGGGTTTGGAAATAAAGGGAACACTGGCACTTTCCTGCCTACGCAAAAACTCGTGCTGGTGTTTTAGGAAACGCCCGCATCGCGAGAGTGAATACCAGGTCACCTCAACAGGCTTCTGCTGAGCATCTGGAAAGCGAGAGGCTTTTTGTATCCCTTAATTTATTGTGCCATAGAAGCACTTTCCAGATGGAGTGGAAGGAGGGGAAGGTTGCTGCTAATCTGGATTCGAAACTGGGGCCCTGTGAACGTGCAAGTGGGGCAGAGGTGATCCTGCCACTCCCTGCAGGGCTGTTTGCTGCTTCCCAGTTCCCTCCTTAAGTGCTCGTTTGATTCACAGATGGGCTTGCTTACTCTGCCTTGCTGAAGAACGAACTCTTAGGAGCAGGGATTGAGAAGGTGCAAGACCCACAGACAGAAGACAGGAGGCTGCAGCCATCCACCCCAGAGAAGAAGTCTCTCTTCACTGTGAGTCGCTTACTTTGCGTTAAAACCAACGGAGGTTGCACGTGTGTGTCCCAGGAGCAAAGCACACACTTCTGCTGAGCTGCTAGTGCAAGTGAGCTACTGTTGTGGCTTGACTAAGATAAGCTGTTGATAACAAAATTTGGTGGCCTGTAAAGAGAACTTAAGTGTCTGCAGCAAGCAGCTTACTTCTTATTCCTGGAGTTGGAACCAAGCTTTTTTGGACAGTGTGGTAAATGACCAAATCAAGCTTTTGAACTTCAGTGGAGATGAGGGGTTTTGTATGGTTCTGGAGTACCTGGAAAAGGGAGGAACTGAAAAGGCTGGGAAATCTGACCGTGGGTGTTGGAGTTAACTAGGCATCGGGCACCAGTGCAGGTCCCTGCCGTGCTGAGTTCTTACTCGGTGTATTTTCTTTCTGCAGTACTCGCTCAGCACAAAGCGCTCCAGTCCAGATGATGGCAACGAAGTCTCGCCCTATTCCCTGTCTCCCGTCAGCAACAAAAGGTAATGCAGATTGTCCACCCCTCCGAGGAGGGAACGGGTGAGACAGAGGATTCAGTGAGGTTCTCTAGGGCTTCTTTCTAAGCACCCAAAACCACTATGTGTGTTGCTTTTGGGAGTCTGGGGAGAGATAACAAATAGGGATAGTCAAGTTCTAAGAATTTCTGCAGGTGCCCAGCCTGCCTAGATAATTAATACGTCTTGGCCAACTTTCAGTAGCCAGTTTACCTTTTGCTCCCTGGCTTCTTTATAGAAACAGGACCAAATTCCTTCCAGTCTCACCTGCTGGAAAAAATTTTGCAGCCTTTTTGTGTGTTTCTATAGAAATGCAGGTACAAGTGGCTACATCTGCATCTACCATCTGTGTAAGATCCTGTAGTTGTTTTTATATCTGTTTTTGTAAACAGTCAGAAGCTGCTAAGATCACCTCGAAAACCAACTCGGAAAATCTCAAAGATTCCTTTCAAAGTGCTGGATGCCCCAGAGCTGCAGGATGACTTCTACCTGAACCTGGTGGACTGGTCCTCTCTTAATGTCCTCAGCGTTGGCCTTGGGACTTGTGTTTACCTATGGAGTGCTTGTACCAGCCAGGTAAGTGATCAGCAGTGACTGGAGAGTGCAGTACCTGTTGCTGTAGGTCTTCTCCAGCCATAGCATCTTTTGGAGCTGTGGAATGTGCTGTGTGAGGGATTAAGTACTTGAAATGTCCTTTCCCAGACGAAGGTACTAGTCTCTGAGACAGCTCATAGTGTAGCATGACAGTAACAAGTGTTTCTTGTTCCATTCTGTCCTACTTTCAAGGTAACCCGACTGTGTGATCTGTCTGTGGAAGGAGATTCTGTAACGTCTGTGGGCTGGTCAGAACGGGTCAGTATGGCATCAGTGAGAGCTGAAACCCTTGTCATTTAGAGGCTGTCGTTGTAGCTCTTCCTCAGGGGTTTGAACTGCTTGGGTTATTTTCCCATATGTCCCCAAGCTCCCTACATGCATCATAACTCAAATGTGTTTTCATAGAATCACAGACTGGTTTGGGGGGGAAGGGACCTCAAAGCCCCCCCAGTGCCACCCCCTGCCCTGGGCAGGGACACCTCCCACCACACCAGGTTGCTCCAAGCCCCCTCCAACCTGCCCTTCAACCCCTCCAGGGATGGGGCAGCCACAGCTTCTCTGGCCAACCTGGGCCAGGCTCTCACCACCCTCACACCAAACAAGTTCTTCCCCACATCTCACCCAAATCTCCTAATTTTTGGTTTAAAACCCTTCCCCCTCCTCCTAGGGCTCCCCTCCCTCATCCAGAGTCCCTCCCCATCTCTCCTGGAGCCCCCCTTCTTTAGGGACTGGAAGGGGCTCCAAGGTCTCCCCGGAGCCTTCTCTTCTCCAGCCTGAACCCCCCCAACTCTCTCAGCCCCCCCTCCCAGCAGAGGGGCTCCAGCCCTCCCAGCATCTCCGGGGCCTCCTCTGGCCCCGCTCCAACAGCTCCATGTCCTTCTGCTGGTGGTGGCCCCAGAGCTGGAGGCAGCACTGGGGGGTGTCTCCCCAGAGCGGAGCAGAGGGGCAGAATCCCCCCCTGGCCCTGCTGGCCACGCTGCTGGGGATGCAGCCCAGGGGTGGGGGGTTTCTGGGCTGCCAGTGCAGGTTGCCAGCTCAATGTTGAGCTTCTCACCCCCCAACACCCCCAAGTCCTTCTCCTCAGGGCTGCTCTCCAGCCATTCTCTGCTCAGCCCGGGGTTGTGCTGGGCGTTGCCCTGACCCAGGTGCAGGACCCTGCCCTTGGCCTGGTTGAACTCCATGAGGTTCACATGGGGCCGCCTCTCCAGCTTGTCCCAGTCCCTCTGGATGGCATCCCATCCCTCCAGAGTGTCAACCACACCACACAGCTTGGTGTCATTGGCAAACTCAATCCCCTTGTCTACATTGCCAGCAAAGATGTGAAACAGCACCGGTCCCTGTACCGACCCCCGAGGAATACTGCTCATCACTGCTCACCACTTGGACATTGAGCTGTTGACCGCAACTCTTTGGGTCTGGCCATCAGCCAGTTCCTTATTCAGCAAGTGGTCCATCCATCAAATCCACATCTTTCCAATTTAGAGACAAAATGCCATGCGGGACAGTCAAATGCTTTGCACAGCTTGAGGTGGATGATGTCAGTTGCTCTTCCATTCCCTACTCCATCATAGGCAGCCACCAGGCATGATCAGCCATGTTGGCTGTCAACAATCGCCTTATTTTCCATGTGCCTTAGCAGAGTTTCCGGGAGGATCTGCCCCATGATGTTCTCAGACACAGAGGTGAGACTGACTGGCCTGTAGTTCCCCGGGTCTTCTTTTTTTTTTCCTTTTTTAAAATGGGGATTATCTTTCCCCTTTTCCAGTCGGCAGGAACTTCACTGCACTGCCACAACTTCTCAAATATGGTGGATGCTGGCTTGGCAACTTCATCCACCAGCTCCCTCAGGACCTGTGGATGTATCTCATCAGGTCCCATGGACTTGAGCATCTTCAGGTTCCTTAGATGGTCTTGAACCTGGTCTTCTCCTTCAGTGAGCAGTTCCTCATTATCCCACTCCCTGCCTTTGCCTCTGTGACTTGGGCAGTGTGGCTGGAGGACTTGATGATGAAGACCAAAACAAAACAGTCGCTGAGTACCTCAGCCTTATCACAGGTGACCAGGTCTCCTGTTTCCCTCTGGAGAGGGCCCACATTTTCCCTCGTCTTCCTTTTGTCACTGACATACCCATAGAAGCTTTTCTTGTTGTCCTTGATGTCCCTGGCCAGATTTGACTCTGTCTGGGTTCTAGCTCTGTCTGCTCCCCAGCTGCTTGGACAATTTCTCTGTATTCCTCCCAGGCTACATGTCCTTCCTTCCACCCTCTATGGGGTTCCTTTTTCTGACTTTCTCCAGGAGTTCCTTGATCATCCACACAGACCTCCTAGTGTTTTCCTAAGCTTGGAGGAAGTGATCCTTGAACATTAACCAGCTTTCTTGGGTCCCTCTCCCCTCTGGTGCTTTATCCCATGATACTCTGCTGAGCAGATCCCTGAAGAGTCCAAAGTCTGCTCTCCTGGAGTCCAGGATAGCGAGCTTACTGTGCACCCTCCTTGTCACCCTAAGGATCTTGAACTCCACCAGCTCGTGGTCACTACAGCCAAGGCTGCCCTTGAGCTTCATGTTCCCCACCACCAGCCCCTCCTTGTTGGTGAGATCAAGGTCCACGTGGCATCTCTTCTTATAGGCTCGTCTATCACTTAGAGAAGGACGTTATCACGAACGCGTTCCAGGAGCCTGCTGGATTCCTTATGCCCTTATTCCTTATGGAACCTTATTCCTTGTGCCCTGCTGTGTTGTCTCTCCAACAAACACTGGTGTGATTGAAGTCCTCCATGAGGACCAGGGCTTGTGAACATGAGGCTGCTCTCATGTCACTTATGCCCTCATCTGTCTATAGAGGGCCTCATCCACTCAGTCTTCCTGCTCGAGTGTGATGTCACCTGTCCCTGCCCTCCCTTTAATCCTGACCCATAAGCTCTCCCTCAGCTCCTCATCCATCCCCAGCTGGTCACTGACATAGAGGGTGACACCCCCTCCTCATCTCCCCTGCTCGTCCTTCCTGAAGAGCCTGTGTCTTTCCAGTCCAACGCTCCAGTCCCAGGAGCCATCCCACCACATCTGTGATAAGATCACAGCACTGCAGGCCTGTGCCTGTCTCCATCTCCTCTTGTTGTTCCCCATGCTCCACTCTATGTGTATTTGCACAGAGGTGTTGAAGTTGGGCCTTGATGGAGCCAACTTACTGGCTGGGGTGGCTGGAAATGCCTTTGTGCTGTTCCCTGGGTGTTCTCCTGCTGACCTGGGAGCCTTCTCCAGGCTCTGGGTCTCTAACACTGGTATTGGCATCATGCTGGTAGGAGTGGGATGGATTTAGGTTTAAAGCCCCTTCACCAGAGAAGTTCTTCCCCTTCTCTGACAGGCAGGACCCTGTCAGGCCCCAGCAGACCAGGTTTCTCAAGGCGAGTCCCATGGTCCAAGTAGCCAAAGCCCTGCCTGTGGCACCAGTCCTGTAGCCATGTGCCAGTTTGCCAGATTGGGTTGCCCCCACCGTTGGCCCTGTTTCCTGTCTGCACTGCTTCTCTCAGCTAAATGAGAGAGGATGGAGAGCAACCTCTTCTGTCTTGAGGTTCCGCTGGTAGGAGTGGGATGGATTTAGGTTCCTCTCTGCTGGTGACTGGTTTAAAGCCCCTTCACCAGAGTTCTTCCCCTTCTCTGACAGGCAGGGCCCTGTCAGGCCCCAGCAGACCAGGTTTCTCAAGGCGAGTCCCATGGTCCAAGTAGCCAAAGCCCTGCCTGTGGCACCAGTCCTGTAGCCATGTGCCAGTTTGCCAGATTGGGTTGCCCCCACCGTTGGCCCTGTTTCCTGTCTGCACTGCTTCTCTCAGCTAAATGAGAGAGGATGGAGAGCAACCTCTTCTGTCTTGAGGTTCTCGAGGCATTTGCTAAGAGGTGTGGGAGGGAGAGGAGCAAATCAATTCTCCAGCTCTTGACAATATAATGCTCCAATAAATATATTCCAGCCAGGCTGCTTGGCCCTCTCAGTGGGGAAAAGATGAAAGATGGAAGAATTCTGGATATTTTCCATCTTGTGAGGTTTCTCTCTAGTGTTTTCCTCAGCTTTGAGCTTTTGTTTCAAGTCCATCTTTACTTACTGATGGTGTGGTTTTCTGTTTGTCCAGGGGAACTTGGTAGCCGTTGGCACTCACAAGGGCTTTGTACAGATCTGGGATGCAGCTGCAGGAAAAAAGCTCTCCATGCTGGAGGGACACACGGCCAGAGTGGGTAAGGAGGCGGGAAGCAGAGGTTTCACATGTTTCATTTTTTCCATGATTGAACTCTTTCCTTGTAAGCGAGGGGTCTGCTTCAAATAGCAGAACTCAAAAAGTAGCAGAATCAATATTTATTCACTGCTATGTCCCGAGCAGTCTTTCAAAATGCTATCGCCCAGTAATTGTGGTGTTCTGATCTTGGGTGTGGTGGTGTTTGAGTATTGCAGCAGGTGTTTCCTCCATGTCTGAGGCATTTTAGGTTTGGTTACAACATCTTTTTTCACTGCCGCTGGTTCCGGTTTCAGCCCTGCAGGCAGGCTGCTCTGCACCGAGATTTCCACTTCTCTCATTCTTTGGGGACTGGTTTGTTGGTTTGGTTTTTTTTGCCCAGAGGTGCTGTGAATCCGAATGCCAGAGCGAGATTTGGGAGCTGAAGACACCTTCTGAGTTCTATTTCTGTGCTTTACTGTGCAGAAATACAATTTAGCGATCACTCCAGCACCTTTCTTTGTACGCTGTTCTGAGTCTTCAGACAGTGGGGAGTCTGGCGGTCCTTAAGCACTGATTTATTTTATTTATTTATTAAAACCTTGGCAGTTGTGGCTGAGTTCTGCCCAGCTGCTCCTGCAGGACTCCAGTGACATCCTCCTGTGCTGTGCCCGTGTTACAGGTGCCCTGGCGTGGAACGCAGACCAGCTCTCCTCCGGGAGCCGCGACAGGATGATCCTTCAGAGGGACATCCGCACCCCACCCCTGCAGTCGGAGCGGCGCCTCCAGGGCCACAGGCAGGAGGTCTGTGGGCTCAAATGGTCCACGGACCACCAGCTCCTGGCCTCTGGAGGAAATGATAATAAGGTAGAGTACTTGTGAGGAGCCACAGGAGGTTCAACATCTCTAGATCTTCACCAAGAAACATCAGACTCCCTTTCTTTAAGGATATGCAGCCTCTCGGAAAGGGACTTTCTGTTTCAGTTGTTGGACTGTGTCCAAACATAAATCATGCTGAGCTTCTATTTTGTCTCCTTTCTCTAGTAAAATTTAAAAGGCAAATTTAGTTTTGCTTCTGCATTTGGCTAATTAAATCTATAGCTTGACTTCAGGGGTTGGAGTTCAGCAAAGCCACTGCTGAGCTGTACTTCCTGACTTTGTTTAGGTAGAGTACAGTCAAGTTTGTTGCACTAATGTTTATACATGCAGAAGAAAACTGAGTTTAGAGCTATATAAGTTCTAATACCTATAACACAGGCTTGTAGCTCACTGAGCACCATATGGGAGAAGCATCTGTTGGGGAGAAGGAGCGTTGGGAGCGGGTTGCTAGGTAGTGAATCTGCCCACTGTCTGTGTGACAGCATGGTTGTACCAACTTCCTCCTGCTTGGAATCACTTCCAGTGAACTGGAGTATGTTTCTAAATGTGTTCTGGGATAATACAGCCCTGAAGACAAAAGAGGGCTTTGAGTTCATGTTTAGTGACGCTGTATTTTTGGCTTCATAAGCTTAACTTAAGGACCACCAGCTTCCCTGTGGCAGAGTGACTCCTCAGCTGAGCGTGGTGGCCAGTGGCTTCAGGGCTGCAAGTGCAGGGCAGAGATGGCTGTGCTGGGGCAGAGCTGTGGGAAACCCTCTTGTTGCCCAACCACCCTCCTCAGTCCCAGTGCAACGTCGTGGTTTGTGGGTGTTGCGGACGCGTGACTGCAGCGCGAGTTTGATCACGTCTCTCCTCTCTGCCAGCTCCTTGTCTGGAATCACTCCAGCCTGAGTCCTGTCCAGCAATACACAGAGCATCTCGCAGCAGTAAAAGCCATCGCCTGGTCTCCGCACCAGCACGGGCTCCTCGCCTCCGGCGGAGGGACCGCCGACCGCTGCATCCGCTTCTGGAACACGCTGACGGGGCAGCCCCTGCAGTGCATCGACACCGGCTCCCAGGTCTGCAACCTGGCCTGGTCGAAACACGCCAACGAGCTGGTGAGTCCCTCCCTGGGCCGTCCTGCTGCGGGGCTGCCCCGTGTTGGGAGGCGTGACGCCTGTTTCCCTTTGCCCTTCCAGGTGAGTACCCACGGATACTCGCAGAACCAGATCCTCGTTTGGAAATACCCCTCATTAACTCAAGTAGCAAAACTCACGGGGCACTCGTACCGAGTCCTATATCTGGTGAGTAGTGGCCACCTCTCTGCAAACTCCTGTAGCCCCTTCCCTGGCTGTGTGTGTGCTGAGATGAGACCTGGAGCCGCGGTGCCGGTGGCGCTGTCAGCCGCCTGTGGGCTGGGTGGGGATAAGAATGTTGTGCTTCAAGCAGTGAAAAATGCTCTGTATGAAGTTTCCTTGCCTGCGAGGGATACTTTGATTTGCTGTTATGGAAATGTGAGGCTTTATTAATGAATAGCAAAGCCTGCCAGAACTCTTCTGAGGAAGCAGAAGCATCTCTTCTTGTTCCCTTAAGACTTTTCACCGGTGACTGCCAGCAGGGGAAAAATTTGATGCTTCCAGTCCTAATTTGCCATGAAAATGCTTGCTGCAGTTAATCCACATTGATCTCCTACCTGCCTCGTTACTGTTACGTAGGGCTTTCAGCGGATTCCTAACAGATTATAATTATGCTGATGTTTATGAGGTAGATTCCAATGTAATTGACTAATAGAGCTGCCAAATACCAGTTAGATCACACTTCCTGCCTTAACATGTATTTATGATGTGGGGAGGAATAGCCTCCATTACGAATGGCTTGGATTTCTTAACACGGGAATCCTTTTGATGATAATTCCACCCGTGTGCTCCACGGCTGCGTAAGACACAAGTGCTGGAATTGGCACCTACTGAGACTGGATGAGGCACATGAAGGTGGGGGTAGTTGTTGGGTTTCTCACTGCCAGCCGAGTGGGAAGGAGAGTTAAATGTCTCTCGTTAGTTACAATGAAGATGCGTTTTCAACCTCAAAAATGTGACACATGCTGAAGGTTTCTCTCTCTTGGCCTTAGGCGATGTCCCCTGATGGGGAGGCCATAGTTACAGGAGCTGGGGATGAAACCCTGCGTTTCTGGAACGTCTTCAGTAAAACTCGCTCAACAAAGGTAGGGGTGTGGGGTGTGGGGGCTGGAGCGTGTCCTGCGGGAGGCTCGGCCCTGGGGGTGAATCCATCCAGGCTTGCTCTGTTCTGCTGCCTTCCCCTCGGGGGTTAATCCCCTCCAGGCTTGCTCTGTTCTGCTGCCTTCCCCTGACATCCTCACCACCTCCTGCAGCATGAGGGCTGGATGCAGCGAAGGGTTAAACCTGGCTGAGATAGAAAGAGATTTGCAGCCATCAGATGAAATAAAAGGCTGCCTCTGTGTGCCCAAGGCAGAGTGACAGAATGTCCTCCTTCTAGCTCTTCCAATGTGGCAGTGTTTTGGGGACCTCTCCTGAGCCCACCATCTTTAAGAATTATAGAGTGACTAGAGTTGGAAGGGACCTTGAAGACCACCCAGTGCCTCCAACCTGCCCTTGAAGCCCTCCAGGGATGGGGCAGCCACAGCTTCTCTGGCCAACCTGGGCCAGGCTCTCCCCACCCTCACACCAAACAAGTTCTTCCTAACATCCAATCCAAATCCACCCTCTTCCAGCTCAAAACCACTATCCCCCATCCCATCACCACACTCCCTGACAGAGTCTTTCCCTATAACACACTGCTATGAACTATCTTGGTTCTCGGGGACGATTTATCCCCTGAATCCTTAAGAAATTTCTTAAAGTGGTGGCTCAGGTGCAGATGGGCCAGTGGATGCTGCCATGGACAACTCTCCATCGCTGAGAGCAGGTTGTGCTGATGCTGGAGAGCTGTTCTGGCAGAGGCAGTGGGATTGGCAGGGTGATTTTAGGCTCTGGGCTGTGGGGAGAGGGTGCTGTCTGGTCCTGGGTGTCCCCTGGTTCCTGAGGGCTCTGGGACACAGGTTCCTGCAGAGCTGTGGGGACGGCACCCCTGGCTGCCACGCTCCCTGCTAGCACTTTGGAAATTAAAAAAAAACCCAACATGGGAATATTTATGGTATTGGACTTTGAGCTCAGATCATGTGCTGAGCTTGAGACACCTCACCAGATTAGTGGTTGTTTTATTAAAAAGGGAAAAAAAAAAAAATCACAACAGCAGCGCAGGGAGTAATGGCTGCAGCAAAACTCAGCACCTGCTTTGTCTTCTCTTGCCAGGAGTCTGTATCCGTTCTCAACCTCTTCACCAGGATACGATAAACCCCATACACTGCGGCCCAGGAGACCACGGCCTGATGGAGCAGGACAAAACCAGTACCTGGGTGTGCATGGAACCCCAACCATCAGCCAGAAGGGGAGGGAGAGCTGGGCCTGGAGGCCGGACCCAGCAGATGCTAATTAAATACGTGCTTGTGAACCCCACTGGGCAGTATTTGGGCTGGGGCTGGGGAGGGGGGGGAACAGCCAAAGGTTTACAGATTCATCCTTCATAAAGGGAAACGGGTACAAGAGAAATGTCAAACCAGCATCCTCCAACCCTCCTGTTGTAAACTGGAGCAAACCTGTGTGACACGGACCACTGAGACCGGACCAAGGCCACCCCAGCCGCTGCGGTGTCCCCTCCCGGGAGAGATGAGAGTGTCCTTCCCCCTGTCCTGTCCTCGGACGGCACCTCTGGAGGTAGGAGCCAGCCAGGCCTGTTCAGCACGACCGGGGCAGGGAGCCCAGACTCTGAGAACCTGAGGGCATTGCTCACAGCCTGGCATCCCCCGTATGTGAAGAAACTGGAGAACTGCTTATTTTCTTTAATTTTTATTTCATTTTCCTTTTCTTTTTTTTTTTTGCTTTCCAAATGGGTACTGTAGTACTTCATACAATCATTCCCGAAAGACAGTTTGATTTTTTTTTGGGTGTGCTTGACAGCTGCCTCCCAACAAAAACGCATTTTGGGGCTCTAAACTTTGGAGGAGACTTGAAGAGGCTCCGCCTCCGAGGGAGCACCCGCAGGAAGGTCTGAAATGGCTGTTGCATGTTCTGGGCTGATCCTTCCAGTTAACGGAGAGGAAAAAGAATGGCTTTAACACAAAACCCACCCACCACCACCCACCGCTGGGCGTGCGGAGCTCCCCGGGTGCCGGTTGTGTGAGGGGCTGGGTGCTCTGGGGTCTCTTCCCGAGGACAAAGGCAGTTGAGATGTGTTTTAGAAACAGAACAGCTCCCGTGGATCTGTGGTTTTTGGGGAGCCTGTGGCCTCTTCTGGCTGGAAGGGGGGAGGCACCGTGGCTGGGCAAGGTGTGGGGGGGTTCTTTTTCTAAAGCAAGGAAAAAGCGTTGCTTTTGTTTGTTTGTGGGTTGGTTTTTTTTTTTTATCTCCAAGTCAAAGCCAGGGACCTGTTGTCGGGTTTTTTTGTTTTGGTTTTGGGTTTGTTTTTTTTTTAAGTTGTATGGAAAGAGAGTGCCTGCTTGTGTGTCTGCAGCCTAAGTTGTATGGGAAGAGAGTGCCTGCTTGTGTGTCTGCAGCCTGTGCGGCGGGTGCCGTGGGATGTGGTGTGAAGCACTTGTGTGTGTGTGTGGTGCTTTTAATTTAAAGAGAAGCTGTTCCCCCCGCAGCAGCCCCTGTCCTTGTGCCAACGTGGCCCTGCCAGGCCCCTGCCCTCTCTGGTGCCCGCGAGGGCTCCTTCCTCTTCCCCTTCACGTTCTCCTGGCTGTGTATATAGATCTTCACCTCTTCTCTGTAGAGTCCATAGGCAGTACTTTTCTCTCTCTCTTTTTTTTTTTTTAATTATTATTGTTTTTCTTCCTTCTCCTCCTTTCCCTGGAACCGGAGCGTAGGGGTGGCAGTAGGGTAGGACTGTCCCTCCCCGGTGCCACCAGTGTCCTCAGGGTGAGCTGCAGAGAGGGCTGGTGGGGAGAGGGGCCGTGAGGTGCCAATCTGTTCACCACAGCCTTGACCTCGTGTGCCATCACCCCAGTGCCTGGGGGGGCTCTGGGGGCTCCCTCTCTGTGTCACGGGTGCTGGGGGACACTCTGGGAGCTCCCAGTCTCCTAAGCCCAAACTGGCAGCCGCCTCGTCGTCTTACAGCCTCACTTGCCTAAAAAATGTAATTTTACTGAAACGTGGTTTCAACACAACCAGGGTATTTTGGTTCTTGCCACAGGAGCGGGGGGGGCTTTGGTTTCAAACCAGCTGGTGGCCCCCCCCAGCCACTCTCCTGTCCCCTTCACAGGCACTGTCAGACCTCACGGTGTGGAGGGGCTGCCATGGAGCACGGAGGGGGCAGTAAAATTAACTGGGATCATTAAGTTGGTGAAAAGGTTTGGAGGGGAGGGGGACGTACAGCGAGACACAGTCTGTCACGGGTGTCTGTCCTGGGGACACCCCCCGGGGGGTGCTCGCACCGGGGCAGTTGGTTGGAAGCTGCTGCTGTGGATTTTGGCCGTTGTGGTTCATCTCCTGCCTGAATCCTGACCCCAGGAGATGCTGCTTTCTCCTCGGGGCAGGAGAAGGTGGTTGGGATGGGGGGCACAGGCCCGGGGGTGGTGTCACTGGTTTGTGGAGCGGGAGGAGGGATTCGGGCAGCGCAGCCGGAGCACGGGGGGACACGGGGTGACACAGGGTGACACGGGGCGAGCGCGGTGCTGCCAGGGCTCCCACTGCCCCACGGGGATGGCGGAGGAGGGGGGTGTTTGCCTCTCGCCCTGCAGGAGCATTTCCAGGGGATCTGGGGCGGTGGGAGCTCCAGTGGGACACTGTGGATGAGGGGGGGGACACACAGCCCCCACTGCTCTGTCCCAGCCCCTGCTCCTCTCTGGCCAGGGGTTCCACAAACCACATCTCTCCCTTTTCCTCGCTTCGGAGCTGCCTTGGCTCATCCTGATTTCTCTCCTCGGGCTTGGCAGGGAGGGCTGGTGGCTGGGCCCCCCCCGGCTGGTGGCTGAGCCCCCCCCGGCTAATGAGTGTGGCCACAACGAGCCCTTGAGGCTGAGTTTGCTGTTAAAGGGTGGCCCAAACTCCTTCCTGCTGCCAGGGCAGGAGCGGGGCTCCCGGGGGTGCTCCCTGCAGCACAAGGGGGTGCCGGGGGGGGGGG